TCTTTTTTTTTTTTTTAAATAATAAGATAGTGGGGTAGGTTTTTAATTAATTTTTTAATTCAGTTTATGTATCATATTTTGCAAATATACGGTAATACGAATGCGTATTCTCTCAACAATTTAGCAAAATCAAAATATCGACCATCGGTCTTCGGTGTTGGATTTCGGAAAAATGTGTTGAAAGTCCGACAAAAACTCGGCAATGATTTGGTGACTCTCTCTTTTACCCGTACTACATTTATTTTCAACTGTGTTCTTTATAAGAAAATTGCTTTTATTTTTAGATTTGATTAATCAATTCTGGATAAATTTTATTTTTAACATATTTTGCAGATATTTTCTATTTTTTATTTTTTTTTTGCTTACGATCTTAAAGAAGAAGAATGTAACACATAATATTCATTTACTTTTTGATATATTTTTCCTATATTTTTTATTCTATTTATTTTGCAAATAAATAACATCTATAGAAGGAGAGGTAAACTATAAATATTCATCTGTTATGTACAAATATTAAAGATATTGGATAATATAACATTGTTCTATGTGTTTTTTCAATTTTTATTTTATTTTTTATTTTTGGTATATTTTGATTTTTACTGATTTATTATAATTAAAATATTATTAATTTATTTTATTTTTAATATTAATTATGACTAATCATTTTAATTTTTAAGATTGATAAACAATAATTTATATATACAAATATTTCACCACATTATATAATATTAATTACTTTCTATAAATTACTCTTTTATTTTAAAATAAGAATATAAATAATATTTATTTGATAAAGATTATTTTATTTTATCTATTTCTCTTATTTTTTTTAATTATACCTTATATATTTTTATCATTCAAATATTTTATTTGATATTAATTAATTATATATTATTTCAAATTATATTTATATATTTATTAATTGAATATAAATTTTAGTGCTAGATTCGATTGAAATTAAATTTTTATTTTTATGTTTTTATTTTAGTTCTTTTATTTCAATAATTTGACATTATTCTATTTTATGTTACATTTAATAAAATATAGTTTGTTATTTGTAAAATATATATAGAAAATAGAAATATAGCATTCATAATAAATATAATTATTTGATATATTTTTGCAATTTTTACTATTTTGAATCAGTAGTATATGATTATTTATTAATAATTTTATATATTTTAAATTGATAATTTACTTGTTTAAATATCTTCAATATAAAATTGAAACAAATAATTATTTAATATTTTGGTAAATTAAAATTAAATGTAAAATAATAAGTTTTATTTTTATTAAATATATTTATGCATACTTTGTATATATTATAATGTGTTATTTGTTACAATATATATATATATATAAAAAGAATATATATAATGTGTTATTTGTTACAATATATATATATATAAAGAATATATATATATAAAATGATAAGTAATTCTATTGTTTTGTTTTTTTTTTTTATTAATAACTTGATTTGCATATTTTACTTGGGCGAATTATGCAATTTTATAATTTTGTATTAGTATTTTAATTATCTAATACTTCTTCAATCCCAACTATTTTGTCACTTTTAATTTAGACATAATAATTTTATTTGGAATGTTATTACGCAAAAAAGTACGTAAATAATAGTTTTATCAATTTATATTTACATTGAATTCAAAAATAATTCATTTTTATTTTTAAGAATAAATATAGTTAATTATTTTAATTTTTTTCAAAATGTAAACATACATGTATAATGTAACATTATTTTAAAATAGTAATTATTTGTACTTTATTATTATTTTTTAAAATATTTTAATTATGTATATACCCGCACGGGTTTAAATTCTAGTATGAAACTAAAATTAAATGAGGTGGTTTTACGGTTTTCTTAGAATATGTTTTAAGTGGGTTTTTAACCCATATTAATGGCAAAAACTAATTTTTATAGTTTTTTATAGTGTTTTTAAATGGGTTGAATATCCAATTTTTATTTTTTTTTCAAATATTTTTTCTTATTTTTTTTCATCTTCTCTCAATTTTTTTGGATTGTTCTGATACTTTTTTGATTGATTATAGTTTCTTTTTGGTATATTTTTTTAATTTTTATATATTTTTTTACTATTTTCTAAATTGTTTACTTTGTTATGTTTTTGTGCGCAGAGCAAGAGGCATAAAGTTGAGATCCGAAAAGACAGTCTTCTAGACTTAGAATTTGTTTAATGGAGATTCGGTCACTTTTATTTCTTAGGTTTGTTGATTTATTTTTACTATCTAATGTTTTTTTTTAAGAGGTTATATTCATTGTCAGTACGAGAAGATTTATGTTTGAATGTTGAAATTGAAAATTTGAATTTATTTATAATTTTTTTTTCATTTTGCATTTACTTTTTTTTCATTGTGATTTGCTTTTACAATTGATGGAAAAAGCAGAAACAAAGAAGAAAAAAAAAAAAAAGAATTTTGATGGTTTTTTTATTTGTAATATATAAAAATTATTTCATTATGAATTTGGTGGTTTTTTCATTTGTAATATATAAAAATTATTTTATTATACATAGAAATATTTAACTATTATAAGTTTAGTGGTTTTTTCATTTGTACTATATAAAAAATATTCTATTATACGTAGAATTATTTGAATGTAATTTACATTCTTATTTCCAATTGATTATAATTTATATTAAATTATATTTTATAAAATTACAAATTTGTTGTCAAAATATATATAAAAATTTATTTATGGTCATTCTTTTTTATTATGTATTTTTTTTCATAGTGATTTACTTTTACAACTTGCTGTAGAATCCAGAGTATAAAAAAGAGAAATATTATAGAAAAAAAAGAAAAGCTAAAGACTGGTGGTTAATGATAGAGCTCGGTGGTTTTTTTATTTGTAATATATACAAATTATTTTATTATACATATAAATATTTAAGTGTAAATTAAATTTTTATTCACAATTTATTATAATTTATATTAACTTATATATTATTTTTATGTTTTTTTTTTAATCGGAGTGTTATAATTTTGTTATCAAAGTATTGTAATTATGTTATCATATTGTTGAAAAATTAATTTTATCATTAAATTGTAAAACAAAAATTGTTATTATGTATATAAATAATAGTTTTATTTTTATATTACATTTTATTATAAAAAAAATTGAGTTTTTTTTTTTGATATATATAGATATTTAATTTGTAGATATGTATTCTATTCTATTTTTAAATAAAAATTATTAGTACTTACTATTCAAACAAAAATCAATTTATATATAAATAAATAGCTTATTATTTATCATAATCAATCAAGTTCTAAACACATATAGGGATGGAAATAGGCTAGGGGCCTGTAGTGGCCTACCGGACCTAGTTTGGCCTGACATGTTTAAATAAATAGAACTGGTTTAGACTTTACGAAAAATCTTTTTAGCCTATCAGGCCGACCTTTTTATATATTTATATAGTATTTTTTTTTATCTACTATATATAAATATTATATTTTTAATTGTTTATAATTTATAAAAAATTATATTTGGTGATAATAAAAATAAAAAATTAATTTATTTTAACTGATTTATTATATATAATAAATAATTGTATTTTTCTACAAATATTAAGTTTAAAAAATAAAAAATAAAAAAAATTTATATAAGTTTTTAAATAGGCAGTAGGAGACTCAGACTTTAGTCTTATAAAATAAGTCTGACCTATTTAGCCAAAGTCTGGCCTGGCCTATTTCCACCCCTAAACACATCCAAAGTATATGTATAATTTATACTTTCTCCGTCCCATAACAAGTATCAATTTTCTTTTTTAGTAACTGTACTATCTACTTAACATTACAAATATTCTTACAACTTACAATATATTACACAAATGTCATTACTTTTATATCACACATACTAATAAAGTTATTTTAGTCATTTCTACTTTATTCCTACTATATTATAATATAATACTAATATTTCTAAAACTACGTGTAAAAAACAAATTAATATTTAATTTCGGGACGGAGGGAGTATATAATTTTTTAATTGATATTGTTCATACTAAATTGTTATTTTAATATTATATTAATTTATTTATATTATATTTTTATTTCAAATATATAAGATAAATCATAATTTATATTATTAGATATTCATTTGAAGTTTGTAAAATTATTTTTCTAATTTATTTTAAATGATAATATTTTTCTAAAAAAAATTATTATTTATTTAATTATTACTTATTTTTATAAAAAATTTATTATTCTTAAACTTATTAAAATATTAAAAAATAAATATAAAATTATTAAAAACTTCTATAATAATATACTTTAAAATAAGTAATAAATTTTCGTTGATTGTACTGTGCGGACTCCCCGCTAGTTAGTCTTAATTAGCATCGTAAGCAAGGTCTACTCAAAAAACAAACTACCTAAACATAGCGTAAATTTGCTCACTTGGTATTTATTTATTGTATTTATATTTGACTGTTTAGTGAAATATTTATTTCATAAAATAATGTATGCAAATATTGATATATATTTACAGAGAATTGAATAATAATAAGAAGAAGAAAAAAGAATAGAGCCTAATGCTATATAATTGTTTCCACTTTCTTTACATCTAATTTTATTATTTTTTATAAAAATATAGTAATTTTATATACAAAATATCAAACCCAATAACCATCTAATTCAGAAAACGCACGTCACAAAATCAAATACAAATATCAAAAGTGAAAACATCTTAAATATTCCCTCAATAAACTAATATTAAAAAATGAGTATTGGGAGTAGGCTTAAACGGGCCTAAACGTAATAGGCTTATATTTGGGCCGAGTGTGTGGGCCCGGCCCATATTGCAGGGTAAATTAATTAGGGCATGAGATCCCAAGAGTCATTCTCGGAACAGTCGAAAATGAGTTTTACTCAATCAATCTATTGTTGTTACTTACGAGGTACGAGGTTTCTCTTCACATTAAAAAACCAAATTTGTTACTGAAAAACGGGGTTAAGGAAAAATGTCCGCCGCCGGAAATGCTCACGTCGTCGTCTTCGCATTTCCTTTCGGCTCCCACGCCGCCGCACTGCTCGACCTTGCGCGGCGGATGGCGGCGGCGGCGCCGGGCGTCCGTTTCTCGTTCTTCAGCACGGCGGCGACCAACCGGAAAGTCGCCGATCTGCCCAGCAATTTGAAGGTCTACGACGTCGACGACGGCGTGCCCGACGGACATGTTCTCACCGGAAACCCCCTGGAGGCCATCGGAATGTTCATCGACGCCACGCCGGAGAATTTCAGACGACAGCTGGGGGAGGCGGTGGAGGACGCCGGAGCGAGGATTACGTGTCTGCTGACGGATGCGTTTCTGTGGTTCGCGGCGGATGTGGCGGAGGAATTGGTGGTTCCATGGGTGGCGGTGTGGACGGCGGGGCCGACGGCGGCGGCGCTCCACATGTACACTGACGAAATCCATCGCCGATTGGGTGAGTTCTTTTTCTAAATTTAATTGCCCTAATTTTCATCAGTCGTTCATTATAATTGAATTCCGGCCCCGGCGCAGGAGACGGCGATCGCCATCCCGCCGGAACCCTAGATTTCCTCCCCGGAATGTCTGCCATACGCGTCGGTGATTTACCGATGGAGATCTTAAACTTAGACACTCCGTTCGCGCGTCTCCTACACTCGATGGGGCGCGTGCTACCACGCGCCGCCGCAGTCGCGGTCAATTCGTTCGACGGAATCGAGCCCGCCGTGGAGGACGATCTCAAATCGAAGTTACAAAAATTACTCACCGTCGGACCGCCGCCGGCTCCGCGGCGGAGCGAAGACCAGTCCGGCTGCCTCGCGTGGCTGGACCGCCACTCCGCCGCCGCCGTCGTCTACATCAGCTTCGGATCAATGCTGACGCCGCCGCCGGAGGAACTCGCCGCCGTAGCCGACGCCATTGAAGAGGAAGGGATTCCTTACCTCTGGTCGATCCGAGAGAGTCCACAGCGGCAATTATTACAGGAATTCTTCGACAGAACCGAATCGATCGGAAAAGTCGTCGGCTGGGCGCCGCAGCCTGAGGTTTTAGCGCATCCGTCGGTCGGCGTTTTTGTGACGCACTGCGGGTGGAACTCTGTGACGGAAAGCATAATCGGCGGCGTTCCGATGATCTGCCGGCCATTTTTCGGGGATCAGATGATAAACAGGCGGCGCGTGGAGGAGACGTGGCAGATCGGGGTTGGGGTGGGCGGCGGCGCGTTTAGCAGAGACGCCGTCGTGAGGGCTTTGGCCATCGTGATGAGGTCCGACGAAGGAACAAAATTCAGAGAGAATATTTCGAGGCTTCAAAAATGCGCTTTTAGTGCAATTGAGGAAAACGGAAGCACGACTTTGAATTTTGAGTCGCTAATTAGAATCGCCACTTCTCCGCAAAATTAGATGTTCTTTAGGTTACATTTTCATGCCTAATTCTACCTGAATATTCTTTTATTTTATTTATTTATTTATTTGTTAAATTAATATTTGTCTCTAATTTATTTCATGTCTATCTATTTTTTATTAACTCCTCAAATTTCTATTACTAAACTCTTTCGATATATTACTAAGGGTGTGTTGGTTTGAGTTTGAATTGCGACGATTTTGTTTGAATTTTATATTTAAATAATATTTTGTAAAAAATTAAAAATAAGTGTTTTTTAAATTATTGGGAAAAAATTAAAAATCGAATATGGTAACAATAAATTTTGTCTGCTAAGAAGAAAAAAAAATTATTTTAAGTATTTGAGTTTATAGTTTTATTTTAATTTTGGTCTAAATAATATTTTATAAAATATGTGTATATCTATTTAATGTTTTAATTTGAAGTATTTTTTTATCTCTTAAAACTGTCTTCACTTTTTATTATCTTTTAAAAATCTATGAAAAATATTTTTGTGGTTTTTTTTGCTTAAATAATAAATTAGATACCATTATTGTAAGTTAGATTTTATTTATTTATTTTTAAAAAAATTAAATACTTGAATAATAAATTAAATATAATATTTTATATGACAGAAATAATATATTTTCAAAAAATTATAAAAATTAAATTGTACAAAAAAAAAAACCTTTTAAAAAGTAAAACTTTATTTATCTGATTCAAACAAATTTCTCTACTCTCAATTTTCTTTACCAAATATATCATTAGATTATAGTAAATTAAAAATAATAGTATTTTATTAGTTACGAAAAAGTATATATATATATATATATGATGATTTTAACAATTTTGTCATTTGTATTTTATGTATAAATTAATTGTATGTGTAATAATGTATTTGTAAATTATGTAAAATTATAAATATTTTAGTATTAGCGTGCATGCAATTACTTTTATTATAAATAAAAAAGTGATATTTCGAATGGAAATAAACAAATAATAAAAATGATACTTTCAATTATAACAAAAAAAAAGAGCATAGAAAATACATACATGATAGGATCATTATTCTTACAATTTACATGACCAAGTGATCATTCTCTAGGGAGCAACAAATACCAACCCTAGCAATGATCATCTTAGAAAAATTGTAATTTTGGCTATATCTACACCCAATAATAATTACTCTTTATCCTATAATTAATCGCTCACGGTCTTATTCTAAGAATTTCTAATTTTTACTATTTTCGGTCCTAAAATTAACTTCACGTCACAGATACGTGATTTTGAATTTCATGACCAAAAATTGTAAAATTCACCGACTCAAATGTTAAATGATCTTTTTATCTAAAAATTTAAATTTGAAGAGATATACATTATTTTCTTATTACGAAGTCACCAATATCTCTCCTCAGTGCAAGGTGAAGACGATTCGTTTCCATTTATTTATAAGATTCGTATATGGAGCATCTCCAACTTGCACTTGAGGAAATTATTGAGTGACTATATAATAATTAATAATACGTATATCTTTAGATTTAAATTTTTACGTGAACTGGTCATTTAACATCAGATATGACCGTACTAAATTATAAGACAAAGGGGTTACCAAAATTGCAATTTTCCGATCATCATCGAATCCTCTCGACGCCCCATCTTTCTCACTGCACACTAAACCCTAAATCCAAATCATGATACATTATTCTTTCAGGTTGATTCATCAAATTTTCCGAGTCCCACGAGTTCGATCCTGCCGTAGAATTATTCACACAGAATTCATTCGACCACCACGCCGTATCCTTAAAGCATCCGAAGTCAGCCACTTGATTGCCCTCCGGGAGATGAAAACTACCCGACGGCTTATTGTTGATCAGATGTTCAAGCTCTACTTGCGTCAGCCCAACCTGATCAATTCCAGGGTTGTCTAATTGCCCTGGATTTAATTCCAGGGCACTCGATTTAGCAAAAATAGAATCCTCCGGCGAAAAACAGGGCTCGCCACAGCCGTCGATTTTGAAAGCCTGTCGAGGATGTAGAGAATGATCGGGTTGAGAGGGAGAAGGTCTCTGAGCCGTCGGATTACTCGAATGGATGGCCTGGATCATCTTCTGAGGAATCAGCTTTGGCCACAGGCCTGGATTGTTGTACAAGGAAGAAAGATTATTGTTTTCCAGGCTATGGAGCTGTATGTGAAGCTGAAGCCTTTCCAGGGCCGAATTGCTGAGATTTTGCATATTATGATCAGAGGTGTCGTTTCCAGGGCCATGATTTGATTCCAGGCCTGGTTCCATGGCCTGATTCGATGCGACGTGCTTGCGCGCCCTGCCGAAGAGTTTTTTCTTCAGCTTCGTGTTCCAGTAGTTCTTGATGTCATTATCCGTTCTGCCTGGCAGCTGCGCCGCGATTATAGACCACCTGGAATGTCGAACCAATATATTGAATTTTTTTATTTTTTTATTTTTGGCAAAGAAACAAGAAGATAAAAATGTAGGAAATAATTTAACTTCTTATCGAATAGCCACCATGTGATCAAATTCCTAACAAAAGCACCATAGACAATTGCATAAGGACAATAAATCAAGGTTTTCATACTCCTGTCTGTCTGTCTCTCTGTCTGTCCCATTTTTATTTTATTTTATTTTTTTTTGTGGAGTGAGAAAGAGATAGATAGAGAGAGAATAGGGGAGGAATTACCTGCTGCCTATGCTGATGTAGAGGCTACAAATAATGTTGTCTTCTTCCTCAGTAAATCCACCATGTTTGATATTTGGCCTCAGATAATTCAACCATCTCAGCCTGCAACTCTTCCCGCATCTCTTCAACCCTAATTAATTCCATGAAAAACAAACATCGTCGATAAAAATCGAAAATGAAAACACAAAATCACACAACAACAATTATAGATTGAATTATATAAATTAGTGTACCAATTTTTTGTGGGAGGGCAATCCAATTGCCACCAGTGCCATTGCGGTCGATATACTCCTTGAGTTTTGCATCTTCTTCGGGAGACCATGGCCCTTTCTTCACACTGGCTTTGTCACAGCAAGGAGCTCTTCCCATGGATACAGATCTTTCTTTCTTTCTTTCTTTTTTGGTTTAATTAGTAGTATAATTTATTTTTTTTGTTTGGTGGGGAAAATTGTTGGAAGAGAAGACCTGAATTTATAGGTAAGGAGGGATATGGTGATATGTGATGATGATGATACTTTTGGAGAACATCTCTCGACTTAACTAACTAAATAAAAAATAATTGAAAAAGAAGAAAGTCTTACCCTTCTCCATTAACAGCTTATTTTAAGCTAGCTAGGGTTTCTTCAATGATCATTAATGGCTGCTCTCTCTCTCTATAATATTTCTATCTCTCTCACGCACAACACACAGTATTTGGATTAGTTCAGTGCAGATATTTTTTATTTTAGTAGATGGGTTTTTAGACATGCAAAGAGACAAAAAGGTGGATGCAAAATTTCTTCCAAAATAGAGTTTTAAATTTACAGGAGTTATTGTTATTATTAATTTTTTTGAAGTATGGAATTATTTGACTTTATTTACATATATTTAAACATTATTTTTAATACTATTCATTCATTTACGATAACATTTTTAAAATATTAGTATTCATTATTATTTTTTTTCGTAAAATATCAAATCAAATTGTTATCGCATAAAAGTCAATCCCCTGAAGAGTCAAATATTAAACCACCATCGAACGATAATTAACTATCGTTCGGCCCAATGATTAGAAGTTTTGAGAAATTTTATTGCATAATTCGCAAATGAACCGAAATTCAAGCATTACAATTCCCCCGCGATCTTGCACAACATTTTGCCGAACGGTTACCCCAGGAACCGATCATCAACCATCCCGGATACTAATAAATACGCAATTGACAATGAACACCAAATTAGACATCTTCAATCACAGAAATTTGTTTTGAAAGAATTATTTAGGAATTATTATTTTAGATGTCTAAAATAACTTATGGTTTGAGGGAATTTCAATCACACAAATTTGTATTTTTGGTAACATAACTAATGAAATTTATCAAGATTTTCAAGTTAAAAATCAGATTTGTTCTCCAAATTTTAAACTTTAAAATTTCCAAAATTCATTAGTTTGTTTATGATTTCAAACACAAATCCACATTTCAAATTAAAATATATATATATATTTTTATTATACATTATATCCAAATATTATTTAAACAAAAACTCAAATTAATACCTAATTTCAAACTACAATCAAACAGATAACAATATTGTAAATTTACAAATTGAAGACAAGATTACATTTTATTAGAATCTTACACGTGTGAAATCTCTTTCATTTAAATTAGGGTTGTGTTCCTTAATAATCTTCGTTTTTTGGGTTTGCTTTTAAGAAGCAAAATGTTAATTCCCTTCAAAATATATAATTTATTAAAATTCCTTTTTACTATTTAAATTTAAACTTTTAATCTGAATATACATATATATATATATATATTTGTAAGGTAAGTACTACATGTACCTTACAACATAAGTTAAAAATGTTTATATATAATTGATTCGATTTATCAAAATTATTCTCATAATAATGCTTTCACTCGATATTACTGAAGATGGTGACATGCATATATAGAGATGGCAAAAATTGATCCGACATGACAATCCGATGCGACCCGACACGAAATAATTGAGTTTGGGTCAAAAATTTCAATCCGATTATGTATACAGGTTAACACGAACCCGACACGATAGCAAACGGATCGGGTTAGGGTTAAGGCTCTTAACTCGAACCCGACAAGACAACCCGATTATATATATTAATATTGATTAATATATTCATTATATATATATATCTAAAATAATCATAATTTAATAATTTCCTCATAAATTAATTTAAACTAAGTTCAATTTTAAATAATTCAACCTAATTTACGTTCAAACCAATAAAAACTAATATAACACGACAACACAACAAAAAATTATTTAATTTAAATCAAGAAATTTGATTTAATTATGTACACGTGTCAACACGAGTCAACCCGAATCCGACACGATAGTAAACGGGTCAACCCGAACCCGATACGATAATAAACGGGTCGGGTTAAAGTTGAGTAATTTAATCCGTTTAAAGTATTCAACCCTACACGAACCCGATACGAATCGACCAATTGTCAGCTCTATGCATATAATTAGACAAACTAATTTTAAAATATGCAAAAATAGTAAATAAGAGGGCCTCAATTAGAATTATTGAAGACTTTTTGACAATCTTATCGTTCTCTCTAATCCCTAAAATTAAATTTACGTAATTACTTTATTGGTCTACCTATGATAAATAATAAATTAAATAAAGCACAGATCATATGCCACCACCTAATCATCGATTTTGGATCCCCAAATATTTTTTAAATAATTAAGAGACACGACTTGTGATGTCAGGTTAATTAATTAATTAGTTTAATGGGAATTTTTCTCATCAGATTAATTACTAATTAATTAATTAAAATAAATAAATATTTTTTTATCATATAAAAAATTCATTGAATCACATAATAAATCCTTCGATAAGTATAAATTATTTACATTATTGTGTAGACGACTATTAAATTGTTAAACTGTTACATGAATATTGAACCGTAATATAAATTTATTGAACTATATTGGAAAAACTTTTGGTTGTTTAAATAGTGGCTCTGTTGTTCCAACACTATATTTCAATTGTGATTCTCAAAAAATAATAATATAAAATATAATATTTTATACAAAAGTCAAAAAGTCATTATTAAAAGTTAATATTCAATTTAAAATACTCATTCCGTCCCGCAAGAAGGGTGACGTTTGCTTTTTGCACGTAGATTTTTAATATTAGTTTTATATTGGATTGTAGTAAAAAAGACAAAAATACCCATATTAGTATGGTGTAATATAAAAGTAATGGCATTTGTGTAATATATTGTAAGTTGAAAGGGTATTTATTATATGAAGTAGGTAGTACAATAACTAAATTAGGAAATGGTAACCTTATTTTGAGACAGACGAAAATAAAAAATGGTAATCTTTTAATGGGACGGAGGGAGTAATATATTTTATATTTTGACACAATTTTTTGTACCACATCAAAAATCATTTCATCCAAAACTTTGAGTGTACAGAGCGAGTATAAATCTTTTAGGTGTGTTTATTTGTGATATTTTGGTTTTGGATTTTTGTATGTTTTTACTATTTCAATTTTTTTTTTAAATACTCCTCCCGTTCCAGATATCATGTCCACGTTGCCGTTTCTGTCCGTCCCACTTACCATGTCACTTTTTCCTTTCTTGTAAAATGATTACACTCTTTAATCTCATTTTAAATTTTAATTTTTTTTAATTTTAATTAAACTAATTAGTTATCTTAATCTTAATTTATAATTATTTATATTATAGGATAATTATTTTCACTAATACATTCTTAATTATCTACTAATTACACCCCTCTTAAAATACCGTGTCTACAGTGTAGCAGACACGGTATCTGGGACGGAGGGAGCATTAAATTAAACATTTATTTTTTTATTTATTACTACTATCTCTCAATTTGAAAATATACGTTTATTTTTTGCGGATAAATTATGAAACAATAGTATTTTAATTATAGTGGACAGTTAAAAAATAGTATAAGACAATTTTGGCTTTAATTTTTGGTATAAAAGTAATGATGCGATGATAAATAGAGATATTTCTAGAATTTTTTTTTTTTTTTGAAATAGTTACTTTATAATTGGATAATCAAAATTAAAAATATGTACTACCTCTGTTTCACTCCAAAGAGGTCGTTTGTGGTTTTGTAGTAAATTAAGAAATAATAATATTTTATTGGTCAATTGGAATGTGTAAGAAGTTTTGATATTTTCTGACTTTATATATAAAGTAATAATATATTTGTAATTTAAATAAAAGTTAAGGGTATTTTAATATTAATGTACTACTACTTTTACTAAAATAGGAAATAGATACTTTGGAGTGAGACGGACGAAAATGATAAAAATGGTACTCTCAATTTTGACGGAAGTAGTATATTTTATTAGTGGACGGATGTAATATTATGCTAAATTTAATTTTACATTAAAAAAAGACATTTATATAACATTAAATAACTATTTCAACTAAAAAAAATTACTATTCAAAACACAAATTCAAAACTCAAATCCAAACCATATAGACAAACAATGTGTTTTTCTGGATTTGGGAGTTGGATTTGAGATTTTAAATTGTAAAATTTTAAATTAAAATAGTTATTTAATTTAATATAAATATATATTAATATGATATTTTAAATATAAAATTAATTTTTAGTATAATATAACACAAAAAAAAAAAACTTTTAATTTGAATATATTAATTTAAGGAATAAATTATGATTAACAAAAAAACACACACACACACAAATTACAAGTATTCATTCAATTTTTATTATTGAAACATGCACTATATTGTATCATATATAAACCAATCTTTATATAACTAAATAATTAAGAGAAAACTTATATATTTTCTTCCCTAATTGTCTTAAGCAATAATGAAACACAATATATTTGGTGTGTATTGCTTCCACTTTATTATTATTATTATTATTATTATTATTATGAAATTTTTAAAATTTTCATTATCTTATTTTACTGGATTAGAATAATTAAAGTAGCAAATTTGAACTAAAAGTACACACACTATTTGGTTTGGCAAGGGAATCATTAATCCCAAATTGATATTAATTTCATTAGTTGAATATACAAAAAGTAATTAATTATTTAAAAAAATAAAAAGTTAGTAATATATAAATGAATGATTAATAGAGAGGAGAGATAAGTGATTGACCTTTGGTTCCCTCTTGAAAAAAATATAATTTGAATATTAAAAACAAAAAGAGACAAGGGAACATCACTTTCTCAGAAATTACAAATACAAACCTATCAAATTTTTAAAAGATAGATAATAATAATAATATATCCATTAATTAATTTAACATCTTTAATTCCTTGGAAGAAAACATGTTTCTCCTTGTCTTCTCTCAACCCTAGAATCTCTCTCTCTCTCTCTCTCTATATATATATATATATATATACACACATTATATTTCTCTCTTTCTCTCTCTCTCTCTCTATATATATATTTGTGTGTGTGTAAAAACATTGACACTGAACTGCAATTGCAAACATCAGCAGAGAAGACCTATCTTTTGACTTTCTTAAGGAGAGCTGGTGAAATAATTATTCCTTGATTACAACACTATTATTATTATTATTAAATTTATTATTATTATTATTATTAAATTTATTTTTATTATTATTAAATATGATACTTCC